CTGTTTCTCTTACATCCCTGGGCTCCAACAACACAGTGGATCTTTGAACCAACATGTTTACAATATTTTTTGATATGAAAAAAATGGGAACCATGTTCTAAGGTTGAGAACAAGATAAGAATGACTACTCTCGCCACCACTATTCAACACTATACTAAAGGTTGTGGCTATTGCAATAGGCAAGAAAACAAAAATAAAAAGCATAGAATTAAAATGGAAGAAGTGAATCTTTAATCGATTTGCTGTCAGTATAATGCTTATATAAGAAAATGTAAGGAATCTACAAAAACTTACTAAGTTAATAAGTCTGAAGGACACAAGGTTATTATACAAAAATTAATTGTACTTTTACCTATTAAGGAAGAAACAACTGCAAACTTAAAAATCCCATTTACAATAGTGTTGAAAAACACAAAACATTCAGTAAACCACATATAAGACCTGTACATTGAAAACTAAAAACACATGCTTAAAAAAATGAAAGAAGACCTCAATAAATGGAGAGACAGAATAAGTTCATGGGCCAAAAAACTTGACATCTATTGTCCCTAAATTCACCTACAGACTCAGTGGACTCATAATCCTACCAGGCTTTTTTTAAAATGGAGATGGGGAAGCTGATTCTTAAATTTATAGAAAAATGTAAATCGCTTAGAATGTTCAAATATTTGTTCCTTGTTTTGGGCAACACTGGATTTGAGCTCAGTGGCTCATACTTGCTAGGCAGATGCTCTACCGCTTGAGCCATTCCACCAGCTCTTTTTTAGTGGGTATTTTTGAGATAGGGTCTAGCAAACTATTTGCCCAGAATAAAAAAACTGACTTCAAACTGCAATCCTGATCTCTGCCTCCTAGGATTACAGGTGTAAGCCACCAGTACCCAGCCAAATATTTGTTCTTAAGAACAAAACTGGAGGACTTACACTAACTAACTTCAAAACTTAACAGAGAGTAAGGTTATCAAGAGAGTGTGGTATTGACCTAAGAACTGACAAACAGATCAATAAGAATGTGAGGATGGGGTGTGGCTCAGTGGTACAGCATTTTCCCATCATGTGTTTGACCCTAGATTCTACCATAACACTGGCCACCCCCCAAAATTCTAAATAGATCGATGACACAGAATAAGGAGCTAGAAATAGACCCATACTTACATAATTATTTGACTTTCAACAAAGGCACTAAAGCAATAGATAAAGGAAAGAGTTTTTATTTTTATTTTTTACAACATGATGCTCACACCTGTAATTCCAGTTACTTAGGAGGCAGAGATCAGGAGGGTCTTGATTTGAGGCCAGCCTGGGTAAAAAGTGAGACTCCACCTCAACCAATAAGCCTAGTGTGGCAGCATGTGCCTGTGATCCCAACTACACAGGAGGTATGGGTAGGAGGAAGTCTTGGGGAAAAAACATGAGGCTCTACTTGAAAAATAACTGAAGCAAAAAAGGGCTCAGGGTATGACTTAAGTGTTAGAGTGCCTGCCTAGCAAGTTTAAGGCCCTGAGTTCAAATCCCAGTATCACTCAAAAAACCTACCACCACCACCAATAACAAACCATAGTGCTAGAAAACTGAATGTTCATAAAGGCACAAGAATATGAACCTTTAACCTGTATCTCAACCATAAACAAGAAGGAATATATGGTATCATAGACCTAAAAGTAAAGGCTGAAATACCAAGTGTTTGGGAAAAAAACTATTTAAGAATACATCATGACTTACATTAGGCAGAAGTTTCTTAAGACAGAAAATGGAAAGTAATTGCTTCATAAGAAAAAAATTGATAAGACATCATCAAAATTTAAAACTCCTGTTCATCAAAAGATACCATTGAAAAAATAAACTGGGAGAAAAAATTTATAAAACATTCTGAAAAAGAACTTTTATATGTGTGTTGTATATGTGTGTGTAATTTTTTAAAACTCTCAAAATTCATTAATAAAAAGGCAAGCTAGTCAATGAGAAAATGGCCAAATGACATGAACATATGCTACAGAAAAGAAGATGCACAAATGACTAATAAATATATAAGAAAGTACCCAATGTCATTAGGGAAATGCAAATTTAAACCACAAGAGACACTATTACAAACACTAGAATGGCTAAAATAAAAAAGACTAACATCAAAAGATGACAAAGATGTGAATTAACCAGAACTGTCATGGTGAAAGTGTAAAATGTAAAATGATATAACTAAAGTTGCTAAGAAAACTAAATACTCATCTACCTTATGACCCAGCAATTTCTTTTCCAGGTATTTTTGTCCAAGCTAAGTGAAACCAAATGTCAACAGCAACATAGAGCTATATAAGGATATTCACAGCAGACTTACTCCTAAGAGCCAAAAACTGAAAACAGCCAAGGTTCCATATGATATTGGGAAATACATATTTGGTCCTCATTCTGTTTCCCAGCAAAAAGCTCCTAAAACCCTTAGAATCTCAGGATAAAAATATCTCCTGTATGTTAATGAGATGACTGGTGGCTTGGGATCTCTAGGTAGTTTCAAGAGGGAGGTGGTCACCAGAAAAGCCAACATGTGATTAGAGGGTTGGAATTTTCTGCCCCGAGTTCCCAATGCGGGGAGGAGGATTGAAGTTTGAGTTGATCATCAACTCCCAATGATGTAATCGATCATCTCTCCATAAAACCCCAAAGTACTGGGTTCAGCTGAGCTTCCAGACAGCTGAACATGTAGAGGTGGTGGAAAGGCAGCACACCCAGGAAGGACATGGATGCTCTGTGCTCCCTTCCGCACATCTTGCCCTAGGCATCCATTCTATCTGATTGCTCATCTGTACCCTTAGGAATAGTCCTCACCATAAGAGGGTACACATAAGTAAAGTTCTGCGAGCTAGCAAATTAACCAAACCCAAGGAGGGCATCATGGGAACTACAATTTATATTTACATTTTATTATTTATTTACTTATTTTGTGATGCTAGGAGTAGAACCCAAGGCCTTGTACATGATAGGAAACCCAATTTATAGCAGGTCAATCAAAAGTACAGGTCACAACACGTGCTTGTGACTGGCATCTGAAGCAGGGTACAGTTTCATGGGATGCAACACTCAACTTGTGGAATCTGATGCTCTCTCCAAGAAGACAGTGTCATAATTGAATTAAAGGATATCCAGCTCTTGTCTGCTAAAGAATCGGCTGCAGAACTGACTGGACTTTTTTGGTGACACACATTTTGGTGAACATGGGTCACAGAAGTGTTTTATGTTGCATTGAGAATACAGAATTAAAAAAAAGTTTAGTTTTTCCTGTATCACTTGTATTCCATAAATAAGAGAATAGATAAACTGTTGTAAATTTTTACAATGGAGTAATACTCAGAAATAAAAAGGAACAAGCTACTGGTACTTGTTAAAACATAGATAAATTTATAAATATTATGCTGAAAGAAGCATTACACTAAGAGTACATCTGTATGGTATTATTGTTTTTATGAAGTTCCAGAAGCAGCAAACTAGTCTTTGACAAACTACTAAGAACAGTTTGAGTTACACAGATGTAGGTATTTGTCAAAATTCAGCTAACATATGCTTAAAATTTAACTGTATATGAATTTAACTTCAAAATAAAAAAAACTGTAAAGCATTATCAAACTGTAGTTAACTGTATGTTGAAGAATTTAGCAGAAAGTGTACTGATGTCTGGAATTTTCTTTGAAATGCATCCAAAAGTAAACTGAAGGACTAATAAGGATAGATATGTGGAAAAACAGGTGTAGCAAAAATGTTAATAATAAAATCTAGGTGTGGGTGTAAAGGAACTCACTGTAGATTATTTTTTCAACTTTTCTGCATGCTTCAATTTTTTTTCATAATAAAATGTTGGGGGAAAACAGGAACTACTATTTTGAACATTATTTTATATTTCTTTTACTATTTTTCTAAGTTATTTATAAGATGCTGTACATTTATAATTCCAAACATTTTTAAAAGACATAAAACCAATGCCATTTACTAAAATAAGCAAATATAAATGATTGCAAAACAAGTTAAATATTTCATCTTAGAGTCAATAAAAGCTAGAATATTCACTGTTTTTAAATCCACCATCATATAATACAGTAAGAATCTTAAAAATTTTGGTTATATAGCATGTCACCAGTTTTGAACTAATTGAAAATCTTAAAGTTAATTAAATAGCTAATAAAAAGTTGGCTTCTGGGGCTGGGAGTGGCGGCTCACATCTACAATCCCAGCTACTTGGGAGGGGGAGATCAGTAGGATGGCCACTAGAGGCCAGTCTGGGCAAAAAGCTGGTCAGACCCTATCTCAACAAACAACCCAGTGTGGTAGCACATGCCTGTGAACCAGTTATGCAGGAGGCATAGGTAGGGATCACTGTCTGAGGCTGGCCCAGGGCAAAAACACAAGACCCTATCCAAAAAATAACTAAAGCAAAAAAGGGATTGGCTCAAGGGGCAGTGTGCCTGCACAGCAAGCATGAGGCCCTGAGTTCAAATACCAATACTGCCAAAACAGAAAGTTGGTTTCTCTTTGAATGCTTTACATTAAACTTCTCTTGTACTAAAGAACCTCCCTGTAATATTATTTTATGTTAATGTGTAGTCACTAAAAGTTCATTATTTTTCTTAGACACTATAATAATCCATTAGGGCAGTATTTCTTAGGAAATCCAAGTTAGCTGTTTATACTTTCAAAAAGGCTTTATCTTTTGAAAAGCACAAGCTTATGCCAGGTACTAGTCAATTGTGTCTTGTTAATTTCCAAAACAAACAGGAGAGTGCCATGCAATTTTCATTACACACACACTTCACCATTGGAACCAGGGCTATTAGCTTGACCCTGCTCCAGGAATAATGGTTTCATTCCTCACTGAAATAAAATAATGTGCCACATAACTCAGCAATGTGGAACTTCTAAAGAATGTTGTCATGTTAAACATGGTCATATTTTTCAGTTGTCATTATGCCAAAACAAAGGCCATCTGCTATAGAGAGCTCACTCTGGGCCCAGGCTTACCTCATTGCTATGTCATATGATTCCGGATGAATACAGGTTTGGTCTAAAGGATTTGGCTTCAGTGCAACATCCACTGCAGTTTTGCTCCTCTTTTTGCCCTGCTTCTCATTTTTGGCTTCAATACCTGCTGAAGATGTCATGGCAACTCCTTGACTCTGGTCTGAAGATTCAGTTTGCTGACTAATACAGTCATTTAAAACCAGAGTAAAACAAATTGTCAAAAGAGGGGGAAGTTGGGTAGAAAAGAGAAGAGATTTTAATTAAAGATGTGCTTATTTCTCAGTCACACAAATTCACACAGACAGCAACCATTCACTTCACAGGAACTATCACTTATTTGCATAAACTATTGTTAATTGGACTTTCTGCTGCTTAAATCAAAAACATTTTTAACAGATCCAGTCTGTGTAATTGGCATTTTAGGAAAATAGAGGAAGATGGAGGAAAATAATAATTAATAATAACAATAATAATAATACAATTTGTCAGAGCTGAAGAAAAATCCAAATTCTCAAAAAGAAACTATTGAGCGCAGAATAGGATGAATTTTGGAAAAAGACTCGTACTTAACATATCATAGGACATTTCAGAACATATATATATATATATGTATGTATATAATTTTTTTAAAAGGTTTTCAAAAGAGTAAAACAAAACAGATTACTTCAAAAAGAACTTGAATCAGGCAGGCATCAGATTTCTTATTGGCAAACATCAGATGTCAGAACACAGTGGAACAATCTCTCAAAAGTTATGAGAGAAAATGACTTTGAGTCTAGAATTATGCCTTAGCCAAATTAGCATTCAAGTAGGAGGGCAAATTAAAATCATTTCCAGACATGTAAAACCCTAAGTATAACCTATACATCCTTTCTAGAAAGGATTTCTTAAAGATAAATTCCAGAAAAAACAACAAATTCAAGAAAAACAAAATGGACTATAAAAACTGTGATAAGTACAGAAGTCATAAGGTTATTATTTAAACAAATGCTTATGAATAGTGTAGATATATACATACATATGTGTGTGTGTGTATATATATATAATATATATACTATATGTATAAAAACCTAAAATTCCCAGGTCTTCTCATAATAAGGAAGTGGAATTGAAGAGAGGAAGGTTGGTAAGAGTATTGAGAATCTGATTTCTAGTTTTCCCCCTGAGGACAAATACCTATTAACTCCAGAGGTCAGTTCAAAATAAATTTAAAAATAAGCATTAGAAGACTATGTCCAGTAAAGAAACTGTCAAAATATCCCTATTTACAGACGACATGATCCTATACCTTAAAGACCCAAAAAACTCTACTCAGAAGCTTCTAGACACCATCAATAGCTATAGCAAGGTAGCAGGATATAAAATCAACATAGAAAAATCATTAGCATTTCTATACACTAACAATGAGCAAACGGAAAAAGAATGTATGAAAACAATTCCATTTACAATAGCCTCAAAAAAAATCAAATACCTAGGTGTAAACCTAACAAAAGATGTGAAAGACCTCTACAAGGAAAACTATACACTTCTGAAGAAAGAGATTGAGGAAGACTATAGAAAGTGGAGAGATCTCCCATGCTCATGGATTGGTAGAATCAACATAGTAAAAATGTCGATACTCCCAAAAGTAATCTACATGTTTAATGCAATTCCCATCAAAATTCCAATGACATTCATTAAAGAGATTGAAAAATCTACTGTGAAATTTATATGGAAACACAAGAGGCCACGAATAGCCAAGGCAATACTCAGTCAAAAGAACAATGCAGGAGGTATCACAATACCTGACTTCAAACTATATTACAAAGCAATAACAATAAAAACAGCATGGTACTGGCACAAAAACAGACATGAAGACCAGTGGAACAGAATAGAGGACCCAGATATGAAGCCACACAACTATAAGCAACTTATCTTTGACAAAGGAGCTAAAAATATACGATGGAGAAATAGCAGCCTCTTCAACAAAAACTGCTGGGAAAACTGGTTAGCAGTCTGCAAAAAACTGAAACTAGATCCATGTATATCACCCTATACCAAGATTAACTCAAAATGGATCAAGGATCTTAATATCAGACCCCAAACTCTTAAGTTGATACAAGAAAGAGTAGGAAATACTCTGGAGTTAGTAGGTATAGGTAAGAACTTTCTCAATGAAACCCCAGCAGCACAGCAACTAAGAGATAGCATAGATAAATGGGACCTCATAAAACTAAAAAGCTTCTGTTCATCAAAAGAAATGGTCTCTAAACTGAAGAGAACACCCACAGAGTGGGAGAAAATATTTGCCAACTATACATCAGACAAAGGACTGATAACCAGAATATACAGGGAACTTAAAAAACTAAATTCTCCCAAAACTAATGAACCAATAAAGAAATGGGCAAGTGAACTAAACAGAACTTTCTCAAAAGAAGAAATTCAAATGGCCAAAAACACATGAAAAAATGCTCACCATCTCTAGCAATAAAGGAAATGCAAATTAAAACCACACTAAGATTCCACCTCACCCCTGTTAGAATAGCCATCATCAGCAACACCACCAACAACAGGTGTTGGCGAGGATGCGGGGAAAAAGGAACCCTCTTACACTGTTGGTGGGAATGTAGACTAGTACAACCACTCTGGAAAAAAATTTGGAGGCTACTTAAAAAGCTGGACATCGATCTACCATTTGATCCAGCAATACCACTCTTGGGGATATACCCAAAAGACTGTTACTCCAGAGGCACCTGCACACCATGTTTATTGCGGCACTATTCACAATAGCCAAGTTATGGAAACAGCCAAGATGCCCCACACTGACGAATGGATTAAGAAAATGTGGTATCTATACACAATGGAATTTTATGCAGCCATGAAGAAGAACGAAATGTTATCATTCGCTGGTAAATGGATGGAATTGGAGAACATCATTCTGAGTGAGGTTAGCCTGGCCCAAAAGACCAAAAATCGTATGTTCTCCCTCATATGTGGACATTAGATCAAGGGCAAACACAACAAGGGGATTGGACTATGAGCACATGATAAAAGCGAGAGCACACAAGGGAGGGGTGAGGATAGGTAAGACACCTAAAAAACTAGCTAGCATTTGTTGCCCTTAACGCAGAGAAACTAAAGCAGATACCTTAAAGCAACTGAGGCCAATAGGAAAAGGGGACCAGGACTAGAGAAAAGGTTAGATCAAAAAGAATTAACCTAGAAGGTAACACCCACGCACAGGAAATCAATGTGAGTCAATGCCCTGTATAGCTATCCTTATCTCAACCAGCAAAACCCTTGTTCCTTCCTATTATTGCTTATACTCTCTCTACAACAAAATTAGAAATAAGGGCAAAATAGTTTCTGCTGGGTATTGAGGGGGGGAGAGGGGGGGGAGTGGGTGGTAAGGGAGGGGGTGGGGCAGGGGGGAGAAATGAACCAAGCCTTGTATGCACATATGAATAATAAAAGAAAAATGAAAAAAAAAAAAAAAGGACTATGTCCAATCTTGAGATCACCAAAGGAGAGAAAAGGAAAGGAAAAGATAATGGAGGAAAAAAACATACAATAAAATAAATAAAATCCAAATATCAATACAATAAATATAAATGTAGTAATATCAAGTTGAAAAAAATCGTAAAATCCAGCTACACAAGTCATATGAAAAATTAAATGCCACACAGTATGAAAATAAAAAATACCAAGCATATTCTGAAGTCAAATATAGCAACAATGCTAGCAATCAAATATATTTCAAAGCAAAAATATTAAGCAAGGTAGCAATATCATATTCTTAAAAACCATATGAGCTGTCAAGAAGATAACAGCAATCATAAATCTTTAAGTACTGATTATTAGTTCAAAAAATGTAAGAATTTAAAATAACCCAAATGTCCATCAATAAGGCAATGATTACATTAAATTATGGCTCATTCATGCAATCAAATATCACACAGACCTTATAAATAATAAAAGAAAAATAAGAACAGAAATCCATATGTCATAATTTGGAAAGAGACTGAACATAAAAGAGTGAAGCAAAGTTTCAAATAGTTATTGAAGCACTGTGTCTTCTGCATGTATTTAAAAAATAAATGTACTCAAAAGTGATATAAAAACACATTTACTTTCTGGAAGCAATATATAAGAGACTACTTTGAAGTCAGAAATAGAGGTACCTTTTATTTCTTCTTTTAAAATACTGTTTGAATTTCCTAATCAAGTGTTCAGAAACATATAAACTAATAAATATAGGATCATTTTATCTTTGATTTTTTTTATTGCTGTCTTCAGGGTTTTGTGATCTACTTAGAAAGAACTCCCACAGTCCACTGTTCTACAAGATATATCCATGTTTTCTTCTGGTACTTTTATGGTATTATTTTCTACATTTATGTCTATGATCTACCTGGAATTTATTGGGTCTAAGGAGTGAGTTAGGACTACAGCATCCTACGCAAGTATCAAACTTCTGAGAGTTGTCATAACACCACTTATTGGATAATTGATCAATTTTCTCCCAGCATTTGAAATGTCAACTATGTTTTGGTAGATTTCAGACTATTCTGTTCTATTTAGTTCTACATCAAAACCAAGCTGTTTAATTACTATGTTTATTAGTAAGCTATATAATGTATTCTATTATCTTGTGGGGCTGGTTTTCTTTTAACTTAGTCTTTTTTAGAATAAAGATAATTCTTCCATATAACCTTTACTGTGATTTTGTCAAAAGAAAAATATATATCAATAAACCAGGTAATTGTAAAGTAGCATATACATAAAACCTGTTCTTTCACAATTATAAAATGCTAAGTTTACCCAATTTGTTTGCTTTGTGCTACCAGGACTAGGAAGTAAGAATTTAACTCAATCCATACAACAGACAATGAATGCTAAGGGAAGAGCCCTATCAGTATAGTCATTGTGATATCACGTTTACCACCTCATCTCATACCTTTTCCTCCTATTTGCTATGCTCCAATTATTCTGGCCTTCATCTTGTTTCTTGAATACACCAAAGTTTGTCCTATCTCAGGACTTTGCATACTTAGTGTCTGTTTTCCCCCTAATCCCTGTGCAGCTGCCCCATTTGTTTCATTCAAAACTCTGCTCAAATAACTTTTAAATAAATCATTCATCTAATACAGTTACACTGCTCCCCAAGACAGTATTCCCCATTCTAATTTTTATAGCACATATTTCCCATTTGTAACATTTATTTTACTAGTTTATTATCTTCCTCAAGCATTAAAATATAACTCCATTAGAATAGGGAGTTTGCTGACTTGTTGACTGCCTTATTCCCAGTGATTAAAAGAACTGACATTCAACACATTTGAATGAAGACATGAGCAATGGGCAACTAGAATTTATACCAGTCAGTGGGCTGGGTAACAATAATGAAAGGAGGCTGGTAATACTAGCAGAAGGGTACAGTTTTATATTCACCTGCAAAATGTTCGAATATAATCCTGGTTGACTCTGATGAAGCCAGCACACTGTTGGAAGGATTTTGGACCCAACCCTTTCACCTTCTTCAGCTGTTCTCTGTTGATAAAGGGCCCGTTTTTCTCTCGCCATTCAATAATATTTTTGGCTCTGTTGGCATTGAGTCCTGCAATATGCCTAATAAATAAATAAAGAAAAGAAATAAAATAAGGAGGAAAAAGAAAGATCTCATCTAAGAAGATAATGATATAAAACATCTAGATTATAAAATCAATAGCAAATACATATTGTCATGTCTATATAATGATATAAAACATATAGATTATAAAATCAATAGCAAATACATATTGTCATATGTCTAAATTAAGTTAATACAAAAGGGAGTTAAACCAAAAAGACAAAGAAGAAAGAAGGACAACAGAATGCAAAATAATGACAAAACTGGTTGCTGTCAAAGATGCTGGTAAACTGGTCAACAATGATGTAAGGAAAAAAAAAACTGTTCCTCACACAGTATTTCTATACTAGTTACATGCCTTGTATTTCTTAGACAAGAGACAATTCTACCCATTTCTGTTTAGCTTACAAAAAGACTTAGCAGCAGAAGTTATAATAGCTACACTTGTGTTAGACCAACTTTTTTCTTTTTTAGTGCCTGATCTCATTAATCTAAAGAGCTGAACTATAGGAAGGTGCCTCTCTATGAATGTTGAGGTTAGAATAAAACTATGAAAACAATATCATTAGGTAGCTCGCTTGGTAATTAAAATATTTAGAAAAATCTTAATTCTATTATGGAGTTCTAAATGTGGACTTATGAAATATCTGTAGTTATAGTAGAAAACCAGTACCTTAAAATGTAAAGGATATTTTCTACTACACCAGTTTTAGTGAAAAACATCCAGATAAGGGAATTTCATGCTGCATCAGCAGTCTTGTGTAAGAAATGCAAAACTATGCACAACAATGAAAAAAAGCAGCTCTTCTATAAGCACAGGGAGGGAAAAGTAAAATTTTGATAGTTGACTTGCAGAATCGGGGTGAAAAATATGGTAACCATACCTTGAAATTTCAGAATTTATCATCTTTTGGTTACTTTCAGATTTCACAGATGTATGCAAGACACTGGACTGGCAAAAAATACCTACTCTTATGTGGTGGGAAACGGTTCTTTCCATGTTAACCTTATTTAAATTCCATAAGTGACACTAATGCACTCAATGGTTACCATATGCTTTTCACTTTAGACTTGCAATATTAAAAATGATAATGTGAATTGTTACAATTCTTTCCTTAAATGATGTCTTCCTCTCAGACTGATTATCTAAAGTGATGTATAAACCCATAGATTTTTCTACACTTGACAACTTTACACATGTGTCCCCTTGTTATGGTGAAATTTAGACTGAATAACCAGTTAGTCAAGATTCCGTGATCTTCAGCCATAGACTTCTTGTCTCACCTTAACAAAACTTCTGAACAGATGTTAATATCTACTCCCACAAAGCTGACACATTCTTCTACAACACTGTCCAGTGTTGCCTTGAGTAAAGTCTGGGATACATCATGCTGAAAAGACAAAGATCAAGTACCAATCGAAAGTGAAGCACATGCAGTTTTTGTACCATTCTATTATTCTGCAGATACTTACTGGTAGTTGGCTGACACACACCATGAGAAACTTCTTCATTCCTCTTAAACACACTGTTAACAGATGTAACTGAGCTGAACTTAAGGAATCTGTGTTCCCTTACATCCTAAGCTACCCATACACCTGACTTGAATATAACAACCAGTATTTTTCCCTTGTCTGATATTCTGCTTATAGTAGTAACTCTCAAACTTTAGCTTGCATCAAAAGCATGCAGGTATAATTAAAACGTAAGCTAATGGGCCCCACATCTAGATTTTTGATTCAGTAGGTCTAGGGTGAAGCCTGAAAATCTGCATTTTAACAAGTTCCCAGATATATTGTGGCTGCTGTCTCTTAGATTTTTTTTTTAATTCCAGTGATGGGGATCGAACCCAGGGCCTGTGCATGGTAGGCAAGCACTCTACCACTTGAGCTATGTCCTCAACCCTTTTGCTTGTATTTTGTTTTTGAGATATAGTCTTGCTAACTTTGCCCAGACTGACCTCAACCTTAAGATCTTTTTATCTCCACTTCCTAAATAGCTGGGATTATAGCTGTGTACCACCATGCCCAGCTTCCTTAGTTGTTCTTAAGAAAATACTGTTATAATAAGAAGCAGTACAATAATACTCAGTGAGTTGCACAGTAAATCAAACTCATATTTTATTGAACTGAAGACAGCATTGCTTATATGAAGCACCATTATTTTATATGATGTTAAGGAAAATATGCTGTCAATTCAACCATGACTAAATGCTTTTTATTATAGAATTTTTGTTAATTTTTAAACACTGAAAGAGGTCTTGTAGACTTATTTAGAATTTATGAAATTACATAGTAATCTAAGTTGGTTAACGTATTCCTAAAATTTCTTCACATTCAGAAATCACTCTTTTGAATCACTCTTATACTCAGAGTTGTAGGTGTCAGTATTTTCCAGATAGTATTGTCTTTTATGCTGTCAAGTCCCTTGGAATATAGCATTTCCTTACAGACCCATCCTCTATTATCTCTGGGATTTTCTTTCAAGTTTCAGATGGTGACTCTTGCAATCTTTAATGAGAGTAATCTTAACAGAACTTATCAAAGGAAAAGTTTTTGGACCTCTACAAAACGACAACTCCTTCCTTAATGATTTGTTAACTGAAACAGTGAAGGGTTTGCAGTTCAATCATGTCTCTGAGATTAACAAGTTCATACAGAAACTACACCATGATTTACAACAGGCCAACTGCAAGATACCATTAATTGTAAGATGCATCTTGATTTCGATATGTTAAAATGTGAGAAAATATGCATCTTACAAATGATGAAATGCACTATTTGGAAATAAATATTTGTTGGCTAACTGAAGATAGGTTACTACAATGAATATACTTGGTATTCATAATTCAAAAATTAATGGTCCTCTAGCTGTTTCTAGTTATGGAGTAGGTCAGTGTACTTGTTAAATGTCTCAAGGAAGTAAGAAATAACAATTTGGTGCCCCCAGGCATTGTGATTATTTTATTACCATTAAGAACGGAGTTTTTTGAAACTCTGGAAGACTGAAGGTATGGGAATGCTTCTGTATTTTAGAGTTAACTTAGCAACTATCTAGTCCACAAGTTAAAAATTTTAGATATAATTTAAAAAATCTAATAAGCAAATACAATCATGAAAAAGGCTACAAAGTACAATCTAAGACCTCATGAGAATCTGATTACAGCTACCAGTTTTAAGAAGTTACATAGCTTTCTCTTTGTCTAAGCAGAAACATAAAAAGGGGGCCTTTAAAATAATAGGATGATAATACAAAGACAAGTATGATGACAGCAACAAAGAAAATATATATGAGGGAAAAGATAAAACTATAAACAAATTAGAAAAAGGAAGACTAATAGTTGGGAGCCATTAGAATGAGGGCAAGCAACTCCTCTTTAATTTAAAGCATACTGAATGGTTGGGATAGCTAATTAAGTAAGCTATGGTCCCTGTTGAAGACAATCTTGGTTGCCACTCCTACCTCCAGTCTCCAGCCCCCTTCCCTTTTCCTCCTTTCAAACAGAAGCCGTATTGGGCTTCATGGATCCACCCCCACTTTCATAAGGCTATAATGGGGAAGATGGCCTCATCAACAGCAGATGATATTTACTGGTTCAAACACAGCTGAACCAATCAGTGGGTCATAAACTCATTTTAGTAACTTGCCACTAGCATAAAAAAACAAAAAAGATATACAGAAGAACTCACAAAGTATGTTGCACATGTCACCCTAATGTGGTATAAATAGTATAATAAATAATATGGTCAATGACATTATCATGTGAAAGGAAAACATGAATTGGCCAGGAATAGGTATTTGGTTAAAGGATATCTCATTTGAACTTCAGATACACTGGACAGGTTAAAGTAAGTTCACAGAGTTATGAGGCAGGTATGTGAGAAATGTATTGGCAAAGTATTGATTCTTTCAAACAAGTTTAGTTATAAACTTGCACTGCATTTTCCAGAAAGGATGTTATATTTTTTGAACTCTCAAAGCATAATATTTTGTAATATTTTAGCTGAGTTACTATAAGTTGCCCTTAAAATGAATCATTTTATACTTAGAAGAAAAAAAGAACAATGAAGTAAGATCTATAGAGACAGGTACAACTACCACATTTAGGTTAACAGTGACAAAATTTAGAGAAAATATTGACTCCAATTTAGTAATCTTTGACTTGAGCCATTTTAAACAGGAAAGAATAATTCTAAGACTTTAAAACAAACTTGATTTTTAAAAGTTTTATAAATATGAAGAAGTTAATAAAAAATGACACACACTATACTAGCTATTTCACCAAAATACTTTACAAAAAACTTCCAAGATAACACTGAGTTAAAATTTAATTCCCCTAGCAACTACTTACATAACAAATTTCCATAAGCACCACTATTTACTATAACTATGGATTTTTGCCAAAATTTTCTCAGTTTTTTGCTCAGAAAGTACTAAAGAGTTGACACTGTTTCCTAAAAGCAAAAGTCTTATATATTTGAGGGGGGGGATACTGAAAGAAATTCTATTCTGTGTCCCCAATAATATCTTTGACATTAAAGCAGAGGCATTTATTTTCCAATTGAAAAATATTTTCTAAGCAACTATTATGTACTAGACACTGTGCTAGTTGTGCTAGGTGTTGAAAGTACAGGAACAATCATATGCATTCCATGCCTTCAAGAAGCTGTGCTTAATCTGCTGAAAGCTGAGAAGTGACACATTGCCCTACTAGCAGTCAATGGTATAAGAAGTGAGGGGCCCCAGTACTGGCTGTGCTAATAATCCCCAAAGAATTGATGCCAGGAAATATGGATGGTTCTGTTTTTAAAAAGAAGTTACCCAACTCTGAATTTTTGGGCAAGTTATTTGAATTGTGTAAACAGACTTTTTCAAATTGAGGGACATACTTTTCGGGCCATTATATTTTTACATAAAATTTATGAGATTTTCAAAAAGAATATAAGTAGTTATTTATGCGAGTCAGATTTTTTGAGGTCAGAATCCTCATTTTTATTATTACTTTACCACAAACTTTTGAAGAATTGCTCATCAAACTTCTCCATTTTGTTCTGTCCTGAAGCACTAAAATTATCTAACAATTTATTTTTTTTTAAAAAAAAGTCCTTCCAGATGCAACACTGTGAATTACAAGTTCCACAACAGCAAAATTTCACTTTATATATTCCATATTAAAGTTTACTCCCTACTAGGTTTCTAGCACAGTATTCTTACTTTGAATCTTTGTTTTATTTAGCATTATCACTCATGTCCCTTCCTGCCCCTTGCTATTGTCAAAACACAGAATGCAGCTAGAAACTAAAAAATACAAAAGAGATTTATAGGAAAAGTCTCCCCAATTTTAAATAAACAAGTTTACTTCCTCACCTTGCAGCTACTTTTCTTTGAATGACATGTGACAGTTTAAAAGAGTCATCCAGAGGAGTGTGTGAATGACCCATGAAAGATAGAACTGACAGGAGAATGGGAAACATTTGAGAAAACAGAATAGTGTGTGCTTAAGAGGAGCTCCTCCTCTAATTCTTCAAAACCAGTACACAAGAGGTCTTTATGTACTCCCCTGAAAGACAAAGACAGTGTTCAGCACTATAGAAATACTTTAAAAACCTGTGTTCTAGCTCTAACTGATCACAGATAATTATACACAACAGGACAAATAATCTTGAAAAAAAAAACTCAGAAAAGATTTCTTCATAAGCACATTCTTTTAAAAATACATACTTTATACCCTAGTAGAACAATTTTATTTTTTAAATGAATAAACTGTAATGAACAACTTATACTTAGGGGCTCTGGGACTAAGATGGCAAAGGGCACTAGTCTTTCAGCACTAGAGGGATTTTTCCAGATCTGGAAACTTAGGTTGAAACAGCACCAGTGGTCAGGAGAGGGAAAAAACAACATAGGAAAAGGTTCTCTTTTGCAAATCTTCCTCCTCTGATAAAGCATACAGAAAGTATGCTGAAGACTCCTTAGTTGCTACATCAGCATTTAAGCTTTCAGTCTGCAAGAACTTATACTTTTTAATGTGAATAGTAAAGTGAAAGTACATCAAATATTCAAGACAATTTGACAGAAAGATCTTTGGGACAAAAATTTCTTATTTGTTTTGTACAAGACAAATGGGCTAATTTAAAAATACTAATAGTCAAGGACTCGAACAGCCTCCCCCCAAGGCACTGACCTTTTAGGGTATGAAATGGGTGTCCACAGATATTCAGTGAGGTTCAGCATACTCTAGATGGCTGGAATGCTTATGTTTCTAGGGCTCTGTGTGCCCTCTGGAATCTCCAGCAGCTTTTCTCTGCCTAGCTTTATGGTGTCTAAGCCTACATACACATACCTTCATACCTAGCAACTAATTTTAGATAGCAGACAACAGGCAATGTAGGA